ATCCCTTGAGATTTCCGGGGAAACTCCCCAAATTTGGCCAAATTCGGGATTTTTGGGGGGGATTCCGCCCAAACTCGACCCCAGAACCCCTGAGGTTTTTTTTTTTGGGGGGGGATTGACTTTTTCCAGGCGTGGAAGCCGAGGGGGAGCAGGGCCAGCCCGAGCCCACCCAGGTGGCCCCCCCGGGGGTCTCCGGCGAAGGGGGGGTGAACCCCGACCTCCGGAGGCAGTTGGGGCTCATCCTCCAAACCGCCGGAAGGACCCAGGTGGAGAAGATGCTCCGGGAGCTCGTCCGGGAGCAGGGGCAGGGCGGGAAGCGCCGGAACCGCAAGAAGACGCCCAGAGACGGAGGTAAAAATTCGGGAAGGAGCTTCCTGTGGGAAAAGGGGGGAGGTTTGGTGGGTTCGTGGCGGGATTTTGGGATGGAACGGGTGGAAGAAGGTCAACGCCACCGGTGACCCTCAAGGTCCCCCCAAAACCCCGACGAGGTGATTCCAGAGGGTCTCCAATTCCCCTCTGGGGGTGGCTTCGTGGGGGATGTAACTTTTGGTTTCGTGGGGATGTAACTTTTGGTTTCGTGGGGATGTAACTTTTGGTTTGCCACCACGGCCCAGGCGCCGGTGCCAGCAGCGGCACCGAGGACGATCCGGCGCCGCGGGACGCCGAGGAGCCGCCGCCGGAAGGCGCCGCTCCCAACCAAGAGGAGGGACCCGCCGCCGACTCCCCCGGCGCCGGCAAAGCCCCGGGAGGCCGGAACGCGCCCAAGGGCGGCTGCGCCAAGTGCGGGAGCCCGGCCAAGCCCCGGCGCTGCTCCGAGTGCCGCCGGCGCTGCCGGCAGCCCGAGAAGCCGCACCGGTGCGGGGACTGCGGGAAGGGCTTCAGCCGAGGGTCCAACCTGGCCCAGCACCGGCGCATCCACACCGGGGAGCGCCCGCACCGCTGCGGCGACTGCGGCAAGGGCTTCATCCAGCGCTCCGACCTGGAGCGGCACCGGCGCGTCCACACCGGCGAGCGGCCCTACCCCTGCGGGGACTGCGGCAAGCGCTTCAGCGTCAGCTCCCACCTGGACCGGCACCGCCGGACTCACGCCGGGGGGCCCGGCCCGCCCTCCTCCCAGCCGCGCCCGCGGCCGCGCCCGGGGCCGCCGGAAGCACCGGCGGCGGCTCCTCATCGCTGCGGGGAGTGCGGGAAGAGCTTCGCCCAGCGCTCGGCGCTGGCCAAGCACCGCAAGACGCACAGCGGGGAGAGGCCCCACCGGTGTGGCGACTGCGGCAAGAGCTTCAGCCGCGGCTCCAACCTCACCCAGCACCGGCGCATCCACACCGGCGAGCGGCCCTTCGCCTGCGGCGACTGCGGCAAGGGCTTCATCCAGCGCTCCGACCTGGAGCGGCACCAGCGCGTCCACACCGGCGAGCGGCCCTACACGTGCGGCGAGTGCGGCAAGAGCTTCAGCGTCAGCTCCCACCTGGACCGGCACCGGAAGGTCCACGCGGCGCAGCGGGCGTCCTACCGCTGCCCCGAGCACCTCGCCGGCTTCCTGGCCGCCCACCGGCACGGCCGCCTCTTCCAGTGCGCCCAGTGCGGGCGCTGCTTCGGCCAAGGCGCCGCCCTGCTCAAGCACCAGCGCGCCCACGGCGCCGCCACGGCGGCGGCGCAGCCCCCGAAGTGCCTGGACTGCGGGAAGAGCCGGGGCTGCCGGGGGCAGCAGTGCCTGGACTGCGGGAGGGAGGCGGCGGGTCCCGGCGCGGCGCCAGCGGAGGCGCCGGAGAAGCCCTACAAGTGCGGGGAGTGCGGGAAGGGCTTCGGGCAGCGCTCGGCGCTGGTGAAGCACCGGCGCATCCACACGGGCGAGAAGCCCTACCAGTGCGGGGAGTGCGGCAAGGGCTTCATCCAGAAGTCCGACCTCACCATCCACCGGCGGATGCACACCGGGGAGAAGCCCTACAGGTGCG